AAGCCTCGGAGGGTTATCAGGAATCGAAGAGAAAGCAAGGTTAGAAATGAGAGTGTTGGGATGATTCTGAATTTTATTATGGAATGATAGGTATCTGGATTGCGTCAGATCTGAAACATAAGAAACATTAAGGTCATTATGGATGGTTTTATTTGTAACAAAGTAGTAGGGAGCATTGAGGATTTTACGAAGGATTTTGGATTGTAATGATTGGATACGAGAGGAATTCGATAGTTTAGTGGAGCCCCATAGCTCAACTCCTTAATTCCAAATAGGCCTTATTATAGTCATGTAAATGAGTCTTTTGTAATTAATTGGATGTTTAGAGCGTTTGTCTAGTGAGTGCTGATTTAATCGGAAACGTCGAGCGGTTTCTTGTCGTTTCAGTCTGGTATGAGGATTCCAACTTAGACATTTGTCGAGGTGGAGTCCTAGGTAGCGGATTTGCTCAACTGGGATAAGTGGATTATTGTTAAAGGAAACTGTAGGACAGGAAGTCATTGGTTTACGACGAAGGGTAAAGATAATTTGGTGGGATTTATTTTAGTTCTCCAGTTTTGACATCATTCTTCAAGATTTATGATGTGTGATTGAAGAATTTGGGATGCAATTGACGGGTCATCGGCATATGTGGTGATGACAGTGTTGGGATAGGTTGGGATGTCAGATATATAAACTGTACAAGGATAGGACCTAGGATACTACCTTGAGTAGTGTTGCTCAAATGCGAGACCGAGACGAGTCTTGGTCATGGTCTTGGTCTTGCGCAAGACTCTCGCAACAGTCTTGCAGTTATTTATTAGCTTATCACTATAGAGATATTATTGTTATTATTTAGATAGAAGAAGCCTAACTAAGCCCGAATGAAAAATTAGAGGAGTTAAATGCAAAAGTACATTGGTTATACCAATTATTAACATATAGTAACTAAGATTGTCAAGTATTAGTAATTATTTTGCCTTAATTTTTATTCAAAAAATTGATTTTTTTTTACCAGTCCTGGTCTTGGTTCTGCAACTGTTAGTGGGCCTAGGTCTTGCTCTTGCAAAGCGCAGGACTAATCTTGAGGAACATCAGCGGACTGGAAAATGTTGTATGCTAAAGTGCTATCATAGCAATTCATATAAATTAATAAAGAATAATAGATTATCCCTCTATTAAATATTTTTTAATAATTTTAGCTGTAAACTCTCTAATCTTATTTTTTCATAAATTGTATCAGAACTAATTCCATCTCACATGTTCCCACTCCTATGCTTGCATGTGAATTTACAATAGATATACTCTTAGAGTGAGATTGAGAAATTTCTGGAACGGTATTTCCTCACGCAAGTAAAAATTTAATAGCCATTCCAGGAGCTAAAACAACACGAGCGTGCTGAAAAATCAGCTCCAACAGTAATGTGTGCACGGCATTTTCTTTGAGTTTCGTTAGGATATGTTATGTGAGCACGAGGGGTTGATTGAGGAAATGCAACTGTTTGGGATGAGATTTGAGTATTTAATTTCAACTTTTTGAAAAAATGTAGATACATCGATATTTTCCTACGTTATTTATATCGATAGATTGATATTTGACTGTCGAAAACAATATTTTTTCTCGGAAAACAAACAATGCAAATACGTCGGGTTTAACAACTAAAGAACGAAAATAAACTTTTTGAAATTTAATTAGTGGTGTAGTGTTTATGTTTCTATAAATAATTAACATGTCCAGATATTTTCTGCCCTCAATTGGAATACCGCTGTTTGTAATGGGGTGAGGGAAGAATAAGGAGGAGTAGGAAAACGCCATCGCACAGTGGGCTGACTCAAGCAAACCATCGGGACATAGGTCAACATATCGATAGTGAATATTTTTGAGGAAAATTACGTAAAACGTGTGTGGATGGCGATATAAATATAATTTACGTATATATAAGTTAGTATAGTTAGGAAGAAAAGAAGAAACAGTCGAAACAAAAAGAAGCAAAATGTGTAAAAATGATAGTGATCATTGAGAATTACCACTCACATTTTAACTTCGCAAATGTTCAACTATTATTTTTAAATATTCAGCTAAATCAGTTAGCAGATTTAATTTTTCCAAATATATATTCTACTTCAAAAGGTATGAGCTTTAAAATATTAATATCAATAAAATGAAAGTTTCACTATTTATCATGGGTGTTAAATATTCAGGACGCAGTCCTTCAAAAAAAATCTTTTTATTTTTTATTTGTGCTAACGTTCCAACCCAAACATGTGGGTCATCTTCAGGGCGTGGTTCGAGCACTGAATGCTTTCAAGGACTGACTTGCAGTGCTCGAACCACGCCCTGAAGATGACCCACATGTTTGGGTTGGAAAGTTGGCACAAATAAAAAATAATTTTTTAAAAATCTGTGTCCTAAAAATTTATCACCCATGACATGTGTAAAAGTCGACTAGCTTCTTTGAATTTCACTATTTAACTAAAAAAAAAAAAAAATGTGTTTCCCTTAAAACTGGGAAATAAAAAATTAGATGTATCACTTTAAAATGCTATAACTTATGTATCACCTCTCTGCACCCAGATATTTATCTAATCATAGTTTCAGCAAAGATTGAAGTGTTTACATATTAATACTTTAAGACCTAGGTTTTTCCGGCTTAGAAAATTATTAAATCTTATATATTTTAATTATAAAAACTTTGTTAATTAGAGCAATCTTTTTTGATCATTTAAAGGATTAAAATACAATAATTGTTAACACAAATGATTTTAAAATGAATTTCCGTAAGTTTTTAATGAACTTATACAATGTTCAGAAAATATCAAGCAAGAAATTAATCGAAATTTTGATTCCTTTCTCAAAGTACGGAGGAATATTTAGTACATAACATTGTAGATTCTGTATACAAAATGCTAAGGAATTTCAAAGTATTGATTATTTTTTCTCAAGTTTAAGCTGGCCTCTGAAGATGTTGTCTAAGGAAGGTGGATTGGCTATATCAGGGGCTATTTCCCAGTGGACTTGGCTAGGTTACAGAACAAAAAAACTGCCGAATTCGTAAATTCACAACCTGAAAGCGAAGAAAATATTAATGACAGTGATTTATCTTCACGTAAAACGTCATTGTATATGGCTTAGTCATTACTTTATAGCTTACCCGCTAACGGATCCAGGATTTAATATTGGGGGGCTTCAGCCCGAAAGCTTTTTTTAAAAATATATATAAAGATATTTAATTCGGAAAAAAAAGAAAGAAACTATATAAAATGCGTTTAAGTAATTCTTAAAGTCCTATTAAATGTAAGTACACGAATTGTAATACTTTTAGAGTTAATTTTTCAGAAGATATGGTTATATTTTACCATTTTGGGAGGGGAAGGGAGAAGGGGTGCCCTGACGGAGGTTTCATGGCTCAATTCGCACAATCAAAATTTTTGAGGGAGCATATTTGATCGAGTTTTTGAATTTTTTAGGAGGGAAAGTTTCAACGGGATTATGAATTTTCGGACAAAGGAACAAGGAGAAAGCATGGAACAAGTGTAGTTGTATATGACCTACGATTTTCCTAATTCTACTTTAGCTTACCCTGTTTTTAAGAAAAGGCGACCAATAAAATATCTTGGGAAGATGGTTAAAATATCTGGGGAGGGTAGCTTCTTGCGCCATCGATCTTGGGGGATGGGCACTCCTGGGAGGGAGGATTCAGCCTAAAAGCCTCTCCCCCGGTTGATCCGCCTGGGCTTGCTAAATAGTTTCAGATTTTTTTACACATTTGAAATCGGAAACATTGCAAAATGACCAATTTTCGTCATTTAGACGAATATGTGTTCACAAGTTTACAAAATAACAAAAATTGGTGAAGTCCACAGTTTTATTAGCGATTGCTAATGAAAAGATCGATTAATGGGTTATAGTTGTCTTCAGGAGAAAAGTTCAAATAAATTTAAGCAGTTCTGATACGCAACTGATACATAAGTTTTTGCCTGCTCTAGAGAGTTGAAAGCATCGTTGCTAAAGGTTAACTTGGGTTCTCTAAAATTCTGTTATTATTCTGCAACTTTATATTCTAGAAATAGTATATAGTCCATGGCTCTGGGCCATATATAGTTGTGTAAATAAAGAAGAAGCGAGATTTATTTATTTATTTTTCCTTCTCTGCCACCAATTGCCACAACAGCTACATATTCTCAGGTAAATGAAATTAATAGTATCCTTTTCATAAGCTTTTATTGAATAAAGACATATCCGTCAATAAATCATTTTCAATATTTTTCAAGATCTTTTGGTTTACATTAACATATATATATTAAGATGAATAAATTGAATTATACAATATAAAATCATAGAGTATGACATACATAATAATTAAAATAAATAATTTGACTAGTTCATTTTTGAGAATAAACACCGCAGATCCTGACACCTGAGAAAAGCAGACCTGGACAAAAGGTATTTAAATTATTAAAGTAATCCTGAGTGTTGTCATATGTGTGTGTGGGTGGGTATTATAAATAGTATAAAGTGGGGCAGCTTTCTGATCTTCACCTTAAAATAAATAGTCATTTCAGGATTTAAGTATCGCCAATTTATTGCAAATCGTCATTAAGTGGCATTTTATAAACTTAACTCCCTGAAGATTTTTATTTTTCTAAAATCAGACAACTGTACGCTTGTTGTAATCTTTTTTATTCAATAAATAAGGTTGAAATTAAAAATAAAAACGTTCTGAATTATTAAGTAATTAATAAACCGACGATACAATCGGTTAGCTTAATCCAAGGCTTTACATAGTCACAGATTTCAATAATATTTGTATAATCTTTGGTATTTCTAGGTTTATTTTCGTTTTATTGAAGTTATTTTTTAGAGAAATAAATATTCTTTTTTATTATCAAAAGGGGCAATAGAAATTGCCACTATTATAAAGTTCTATCTTTTAGATAATTAGTGAATTATTTATAATTTCCACCAAATCTTGGGCCTAATATGGATATCCATTAGTTACTCAAGTACACACATCTTGAGGTCACACAGTGGAAGACAATCCAGTTGCAGGAACTACTCTGTAGGGACTGTTGCTCTCTATAGCATGAGCCAAGACGGGCATGTCCCGTTTCCAGAGGTGGTCTTGGAAGGCAGGGTTCTTAGCCACGATCACGTTGTGAGTGTAAGTGATGTCGTCTTGCTGGTGCTTATGGTGGTGGCCTAAAATAATGAGGAGAGGGCTAGAGTAATCTTATTAGCAGGCATTATATTCTTATGTAGCACTATGGCAATTTAAATTAAGCAACTGAAATAGAATTAATATAAAATATAATATAATATAAATAAAACAAATAATATAATATAATATAAATAATAAAATATAGTATAATATAAATTAATATAAAATTAACTATGACAATTTAAATTAAACAACGTTTAATATCTTTCTAATAACTAAAAATCGTTTTGTAAATGAGACATTATTAGAAAAGAATAAGATACAATAATCAATACAAACGAGCATATCTTTCATTAACATACAAAAAAAAAAAAAAAATGTTCATGTTACACTTTCTTGTTATATAAAAGTTATACTTAGAGTGATGTAGATAGGTTGAAAGAAAGGTTATTTCAAATACAAAATACCAAAAATATTTTATATTTTAATTGCTAAAAATAAATTACAAATACAAAACCCTTTCTAGTGGACAATCGACCTAGAATACAGGAGACCTCGATCATTTATTTTTGTATTTAAAATTCAAAATAAGATAGGTACATTTTTTGTATTTTAGTATCTTGGAAACTTTAAAAACAAAGTAGAGTTACAAACAATCAATTTTATATTTCACTTCTTACAAAAAAAACAAACAAAAAAACGTGACATGTAATACAAACGTGACATTTCGTAGTAATTATCGTCCGTAAAAATATATAATCAATATAAAAGAAATTTCTCTATTCAAAATATATTAGATATTAGTTCGCGTTACAGACCTCTTTTTAATCTCCGAAACGGGGAATTTTCAATCTGAAGGTCGGTAAACTCTGTCTATTTAGGTACTAGAAATCCACGAATATCCATTTGCTTTCCTCTTGAATCGTAAGATAATTTTGATCGAGCAAAATATTAGGCCTTATGCCGGGGAAAACTTTAGGAATTAGGGCCTTTTCAATCTGGAGGAGGGAGGGGAAACTTTGTCTATTTAATTAGGTACTAAAAAACCGTAAATACACATTTGCTTTCAACTTGGATCGTAACATAATTTGATCAAATAGGTGGCCTTCAAAAATGTTGGGCCGTTTGTCCTAGACCTCGTTATTTTGAAAATTTGGGGATGTGAATCATGCCAAACGGCTCAATATGTTTGAAGGCCACCTTTTTTCTCTATTTTGCGATCAAATTATCTTACGATCCAAGTAGAAAGCAAACGCGTATTTACGAGTTTTTAGTACCTAATTAAATAGACAAAGTTTGCCCCCCTCTAGATTGAAAAGGCCCTAATTCCAAGAGTTTTCGTAAATAAAATAGTTGTAGGTTACGATGAGATGAAACTATTTACCAAGTTTTACCAAAGGCGGACGTTAATTATTCGATAAAAAGGGGTCTGCATCACAGACTAAAGGAATTTTTAGTAATAATTCGAACAATCAAAAATGTTAAACAAACAAATTCAACTTCGAAATTGTATTACCTACTATGAACAATAGTAGTTTCATGATTTGGACCTATTGCTTAAAGTGGCAATTCTATAAATATAATATATTAGATATCTTTATAACCATAGATTTTATCATAAAATGTACAGAATTAATTTTATTGACATTTTGAAATAGTTAATATTGTACTGAACAACATTTGCTATAGACCTCATAGTTTTAGAGATATTGTAAAAAAAAATACCAATTTTCTGTCCTCCATCTCCATCAAAACCCGACGCAGGAAACTTAGGAGTTATTGAGGTAAGGATAATGAACAATTTCTGACAAGTATCATTTTATTTTTTTTTGGATGTTTGGGTTTCGAAGGTTTCCCTTGGTTTTACTGTACTACGAAACAAGAAGCGGAATGCAGGAAGTTGAAGCGAGGATTTGGTATCGGTTTGAAGCCGATTCTAATCGACATTAGTCGCTGCTCCCGTTAGGGGACTACAAACACAGTTGGCTACAACTATTCATCGCTTTCATCATCTTAAAGAGTAGACCAATTATCCTAAATCTGCATAGACCTCTTTAAATGTTACGAACTGTTTTCGTTCAATGTCCAAAAAGGACATCCGTTTACTTCACTAATATCCAAATGAGCGGTTCCTATTTTAATGTACAGAGCTATAAAAATAATTAAATATAAAAATAACAAATTGAATCAATAACTTTTTAAAAATATTTTTTATTAACAAAAAAAAAAAAACATTTTGCCTCAATTAAGGGCATTGAGTATTTTGTATGTATGAAACACAATCATACCATATATACAATAAAAGAAAAACAAGATTATAAAAAATAAAATAAAAACACATTCATAGGAGCTCCGAGTCGGGCCCTTTCCCCCACGTGTGGAGGATAAGTCAAGACTCCAAGAGATCCCAGCGCTTCTCTCTCAGCCGCATCACTAGGATAGGAATCCAGTGGAGACTAAGATAGGGCACTTTAGCCACATACGCTCATGAAATCAATAATTAGTGGGTTTTTTTCTTATTCAATGTGTTTATCACGTTTAACAGCCGAAGAAACAAAAAATGGTGCAATATTATCAATAAAATTATAGATTAATTGAAGAGAAGTTGGTTGAAATGATTAAAAAAATAACAAAAAACAAATTAAAAATAAATAAATAATATTTTTATTTAACTTTGGGCCGACGTTTTGGCCCAAAGTTAAATAAAAATAAATATCATTTATTTTATTTTTTTTACTGAACACCCCAACCTACTTCTCTTCAATTATTCACTACAGTTAGCCATCACCCCACTGTAATTATAAATTAATTTAGCCTATTTTCTGACAGTTTTAATACTCGACGTATAATTATACATCTTAGAAAGGCCTTAGGTTTCTTTCTTTTTTTTTGTTACATCACGTTGATTTCAAAAAGTAAACAATAGCAAGTATTTGTATTCTTCAATTTTTTAAAATTTACTATTTCAATTATATCTTTTATGAAATGTTTTGGTAGATATATACATAAACTTGGAATCCTGTAATTTTTTTAATTTTATCTGCCAAAACAAGACAATGTTGAGAGTGAAAATCGCTGTTCTATGAAACAATCACAACAATTTAATATTGATTATTTTATATTCTTGAACTCTTTTCATTATATTTTATTTCTCCTCCCCCAAATTTGTCCGTAGGTCAAAAGTTAAAGCACAAAGGTGTTCTCGTTCTTTTTATTATTATTTATGAGTTATCCCTGAAACTTTGTCTCCCTCATTAACATTTAGGGTAAATGGACCAGTAGCTGACATGCTTAAGAACATTTCTTTGAACTTTTACGTTCAAAAACTTAAATAAAAATGTTATTTCGATTATCATGTATTCGTCTTATATCCACCAATACTAAAAAAAAAAACTATAAATTTATAGATGTTTTGCTATTCCAGTAGCTGAAAGTGTTTGATTTGAAATGTCCCTATAGATGACAGGGATGATAATGTGGATGTAATCATGCGAAATGAATTTTATATTCTTCATTTTAAAATAAATTCAAAGCCGAGGTCGTTACCATGTTTAGAAATTCCGATTTTTTTGAGGCTTCGTAATAAGGTTCGAGTACTCACCTGATTCAGAAATCACCTGATTGTACAACCGTAGACCAAGAAACAGTGCTTTCCCTAAATAGTACTGAACTCAAGACCCTTCATGGGTTGTAGCGGTACAGGTTTTTAAAATTTTTTTTTTATACATAATCAACTTTAAAAATGTAATATTTTATATTACTAACCATGTCTCCACTACTGAAAGTATTCAAATACTTCATCTAACCTAGGTAGCAGGTAAGTGGGAGGGGAGAGGGGAGATTTTCCTAGATGTGCTTTTGAGATAACAAAATTATGGACAAAAAATTACGATACGATTCTATGAATAAATTCAATATTTATGTCTATAAAACCTATAAAATAGCTAATATATATAATCTAGACATATATATATATATATATATATATATATATATATATATATATATATATATAACAATTTGTTAATTGTTATATATATATATATATAACAATTAACAAATTATAACTATAGATTTGAAATGAAATGATAATAAATAAGAGAGCAGATATGACATTTCAATAGTTTGACAAATGTACATTGATCGATAATTACTGTTTATTATACTATCTATTATAATAAATGGATATGATACGTAGTACAATATATTATAAAATTCCTTTGTGGAATCTTCTGATAATAGCATAAGGATAAGCATAAATAATTTATGCTTATGTTATTAGCATAAGATACCATAAAAATATTGTATAATGTATTATACTACGTATCATATCTATTTATTATTATAGATTGTATTCTAATCAGTAATTATCAATAGTACATTTACTATGATGAAATCTAACTTTGGTCTTAGAAATCCACTATTGGCGTTAGGTTGGGAGACTGACCTTCAACAGCCAATCCGACAAAACATCTAACCTTGAATATTTATAAAAAGTTCTTAATCCGATAAAAGTGTAAATCCTGCTCGGTCGTTACTCATACCACACTGAGCACAGGCGAAGGGTTGCATGAAATGGAGAAGTTATCGAAGGCTGTAACGCAACTGCGTGCGTGAGCCGCGGCTATCAGCTGTCCAATAACAGACCATTTAATGGAAAGCTAACTGTAAATATTATACGTGTTGCATTGCTATGGTCAATACGTCATATAGTTAGGATTGTATACTATCAAGTGATTTCACGGCCAACCATTTCGATGTGAAGTAGCATGAATTTTAACTTCTTAATCACAGAGCTGAAGAGGCTTGAGGATTATTTTAGTTTATGGCTAGTCACTGGTGCGAGAATGGATCATGGAGAATGGTGGCTGTCATCGAACTAAAGGGCCCCTTATACGGTAAATATTATTTAGTCAATATGGAGTTTCATCAATATATTGACAGTGTAAGGGCTACATTGCCATCTTACTTTACTTTGCCATGATACTTTGTTTTAATATATATTTTTTTTTTGGAAGGGGAGGGTTTAACCCCCCTCCCC